TGGGCAATTGTTGATGTAAAGATCTTATACTGCGACGGCAAACAGGTTATCGGGCGATAGTTCTTAGGGTTGTTCAGATCTCCACTTTTTGGCAACATTGTTGTGATTCCTTCCATGAGAAACTCAGGCATTAGTTCCGGAATTAACTGGAATTGGCAGGCTATTGCATTGTGTAGGGCAGTAAATTGCTTCCACCAGTAGTTTTGAATTTTTTCCGGCCCAGGCGATTTCCAGTTTGCTGAGTGTTTCACAGTTCTAAGTATATCTGCTTAAGTGATTTGCAGTTTTGGCATTGCTGGTTTTTCTTCATTCCAGTCAATCTTATCCTGCATCCAGTAAGCATTTTCCTGGTGGCTTACCGGTTGTCCCCATAATATATTGTCCCAGAATGTGAGCATGTCTTGGGGATTTGACAGCAGTGTTTCTTTGCCTTCGACGTTCGGAATTTCCAGAGATCTGTAGAATTTTCCCGGGTCTTCGAGAAAGGTTCTGTTATCCCGGAAGCGACGGTTACGTTTATGGTAGCGTCGTATTCTAGCGCCAAGCACAGCTACTCCTTATTTTTGTTTGTCAAGGTAAGTTTTAAGTTGCTGTTGGTAATCTGGGGCGTTTCTCTCGATCTTGGCTTCTTTTGCGATGTTCTTGATTTCCTTTTTCAGTTTTCTTTTGTGGTCTGTGGGGTTCGAAATATATGACTGTAGTTTTCCTATTGTTTTCCTTATGTTGTTTATCTTCTTTTGAAGCCTTTCTTCCCAAGGTGGAGTGACTTTTTCATTAGTAATATTATTTGTTTCTTTTTTAAGTTTCCCTGTCAAGAAGACAACAGCATCCGCAGCGCAGTAGGCCAGTTCGTGGGTTTTCTCCAGGGAGTCATACCGCCGCACGAAGTCTCGAAGAACAGCGTTCATGGCAGCAACGGTCTTTCTAGATTCAGGTGAGTATTTTAACTTTGGTATTTTGGGACGCACAGTTGGTTCCATACCTTTGTATTTGAGGAAAGATGCGCGTAGTGCACTTTCCAGTTTTTCCATCTGTTTTATGTCATTCTCTTTCTGTGCCTGCAGCTGTTCTGCGTCATCGTTGGGCTCTGCTTGTTGTTCTTCATTCTAGGGTCTTCCGGCTGCTCCGCCCTGTACCTCTTCCTGTTCAGGTTGGGCTAGGTTTAGTGCCGCTGCAGCTTCTCTTTTAGGCGCGTCAAGTTCAGCTTCAGAAATTGCCTTTCGTCTCAGACAGATCTTGCTTGATCAAAGAGTCGCTGAGCTTCAAACTGGAGGTTCGGAAATTTAGCTCGCCAGATTTCTTGTAGACGGTCTCTGTATCCTATCTTGTCTCGTTCATTGTGTGTTGCTAGGAGGTATGCGCGTATGAGCTCGAGGTCGATCTCTTTAGTCCAGCGCATACGCCTTCCTTGCGTAGCCTCTCTGACGGGACGCTGGTTTACAACATCCAAGTCATTGTCGGCTGGTGGGGGATTTTCATGGAACGCCGGCCTTTTGGTTTCCGTACGGAGGGCAACGCCACTTGCTTCGTTGGCACCCCTATCTGGCTGATCCTGGGGACGGTTCCGAGAAGAGGTAGCATCCGTCACTGCCTCTCCGCCCTGGTTTCTTCCTTTCGTTTCAGGAGCAATAATTTAGTTTGCCGGGGCTGCTAACCCGCTAGTGGCATGGGGTTTTCCCTATTTTTCATTACAGAAAGGCAGGGAACTACCTTGAGTCTTTGATGGAGTGTGATCTCTTGTGAATTATGTTAGGTTAGGTGCTGTATGGGAATAAGGAATATGGTTAGGGAAAGATTTAGTTTGTGGTAGACAGGATGTGGCAAGGTATGGACAGCGGACAGCTGGTCGTCGCAGGCTGTACTGTCTACGCATTACAATAGCTTGGCACTGCAGAAAGCAATATCAAGGCCTGACATTTATTATTATTATTATTATTGGAATTTAAATTTTCTCACAGAATTGTGGTTTAACGTTGCTGTGACGGGCTATGCCAAGTCACTGCAAATACTATTATTATTAAATTGAATTGAAGAATGATCTGACAATATGGCATGTTTTTAAGATGACTGATTTCTGAAAGTTTTTGTGTATGTTAGTGTTGAGTCCTAGCTGTTTCAGGTGTGATTTGAATGTTTTGGGTGTGAGGCCTGTTACTGACATAATCAGGGGGATAATAGTAACTTTCTCCTGCTTCCAGATTCTCTTCATTTCGATTGCTAGGTCTGTGTATTTGCCGATTTTCTCATTGTACTTTGACTGGATGTTTTTATCACTGGGAATAGCTATGTCAATTAGGTATGTGATTTTTTCTCTTTTTAACTGAAAGGTGATATCTGGTCTATTGGCGGATATTGTTTTATCTGTCTGAATATTGATATCCCAATATAGTTTGAAATCCTTGCCTTCGAGTATAGACGATGGTGTGTATTTGTAGTATGGCTCTGTGTTTTCTATAAGTTTGAATGCTGTGGCCAGTGCTTGGTGGATTACTTTTGCTGCTGCGTTATGTCTTGCTGTGTATTCTGAGCCAGCTAGGGACTTGCAACCACTTGTAATATGCTCAATTGTTTCCTTTTGGAGGTGGCATTTCCTGCATGTATCATCTGCTGTAGCTGGATCTTTGATGATATTTTTCTGATAATTTCTGGTTGCTATGAGCTTATCTTGGATCGCGAGCAGGAATCCTTCCGTTTCGGGAAAAAGCTGACCATCCTCTAACCAGGTGTATGATGATTTTTGATCAATATAATCTTGTTTCATGTGGTATCTGTGCTGTCCATGCAGAATCTTTTCTGACCAGGTGTTCATTTTCCCCTGTTGAAATTGCGTGTCGTTGTATATGTCTATTGGATGTGTTGTTTGGGATAGGTTGAGGGGTGTATAGTTTTTATCTGCTATGCTTATCGCTGTGTGGGGCCCAGTCTGTCTAGCATGGAAGAATTTCCTAAGTGATTACATTTGCCTTGCGTGTAGTGATGTTACGTCTACAATTCCTCTTCCTCCTTCATTCCTTTTGATTGTTAGCCTTTCCTTGCATGAATTGGGTTGTGACTTTCTATGTTTGGTAAGTTCAGAGCGCATGAGGATGTTAATGTTTTCCAGGTCAGTTTCGGACCACTTGATGATACCGAATGAGTTATATTATTATTATTATTATTATTATTATTATTATTATTATTATTATTATTATTATTATTATTATTATTATTATTATTATTATTATTATTATTATTATTATTATTATTATTATTATTATTATTATTATTATTATTATTATTATTATTATTATTATTATTATTATTATTATTATTATTATTATTATTATTATTATTATTATTATTATTATTATTATTATTATTATTATTATTATTATTATTATATACGAGAATCGATCGATTGTCTGGGTTTTTAATTTCAGAAGCAATTTAGCATCATGCTTATAGGATTTGAAAAAAAAATTAATCGGCATTTAAAGTCACCCTAACGCAATTTTAATTGCCACACCCCAGAAATGATTTATTAGGGCTTAACGTGCATTTTTAATTTTAAATTGCACATTTTTCCCTAATCGCTATGGGCAAAAAAATTACCTAATGAGAATTAAAAGCAAATTGGTTCTCGCGCTAATCTTTTATTCAATTTTTCATTCTAACAAAAACGTTTCGCTATTGGTACGAAATTATTTCTAAACCACTAAAAGGAAATTTCCTCGGTTACAAAAGGACATTTTGAGGCAGCCGCTAATTTCAGATAGACCATTTTCGGTGGAGAGGCCGGTTAACTTAAATTAGGTTAAAGGGAGCTAGCCATGAAGATATTTCTGCTTTTCCCATTATCTTGCCCTAAACTACTATTACACGCCGTATTTAGGCACAACATTAGTTGCTCTACCACCGGAGGGTCATCAATGAACACGATAATTTTTTTCTGAGAGGGTTAAAATAAATGTCTATGTATGCTGTTAACGTAGAAAGCACAAGAGGAATAATTAGTAGCCGTAATTAAATGCCTGGCAATTAATGCAACGTATAGCTAGTTACAAAAGACATACATCACGCACCTTACTCCCCCGGCTTGCATCATGCTACAGATTTGATACGAAACTAAATTCTATATTTTATCAGCAACGATTTATCTCTGGGAAATGCATTATTTCCAGGCAGCAGAACGCACATAGTCCAAGGCGCGGCAAGCAACCCTCCCTCTTTGCCGTTATAATGGGAATAAACCGCGTTGTTATGCGCTGATTTCATTCCTGTTATCTGCGATCACGTTTACCCTCCAAACACTGATGGCTGCTTGGCTTTCCCCCCGGCGTTAAAGCCGATTTACTAGTTTCAATTTTGCTGACAAATATTGCCATCAGTTAGACTGACGACACTTTATACAAACACTTACATTTTACAACGGTAAATTTCGGATTTACCTGCGAGGAAGTTCAATTTGAATTATAACAGATTGGTCTAGACTTGTAGTTCTTTTTTTCCTACATAGGTACTTAGTTCTTTTTACTTGTTCTGGACTATTTTCTCATTGCGTACAATGGAATTGATTCTAGCATTTGGTGAACAAACGTTTCATCTTGTGTCCGCAGGAAGGAGCGAGAGAACAGAGGAAGAAACGATGCTGCCGGAGACTAGGTGTGCCAGGAATGTGGAAGAGTCGAAGAGACAATAAGAATAGAACAGAAGATAATCATATTCAGTATCCAGTGATCGTCTATGATATGATGACGCATGAAACTCATATATTCCAATTCTTTCAGTTTTTCATTATTAAGTCGATTAGACTCTGAGTAACTTCACCTGACTTATTCTTGTCCAATCTGTCAACTGAATGGTCGCCTTTAGCTTTTAAGATACTGTGAAATGGATGTAGACTTTTGCGGCTTTTGTAGCGCTGTCCAATCCAATCGCTGGTGGATTTGAAATCGCCTGTCTTGCAGTGTATGGCGCTGTGGAATCACTTTGGTTCTTCTGACATCTTAAGATTAATTTTTCTGGCTTGTAGAGCGCTTTATGGTGTGTTGTGAAGTGAATTTGAACTTTCCTGGCTTGTAGAGTCGCTGCTGAAAGACCACTCATAGGTTGGATAACGAAGTGATATCGGGAACTATTGTTAATTTTCACGAACACACTTTGTCATAAGATGACAGCAAAGTGACATTTACCTCTATTTCGAAAAAGTCAGCAAGAATTTGATCAAATCCATAGAAATAAATAGTACTTACATCCTAACTTTGGTATAAATGCAGCATTCAAAAATTCTATTATGAGTCGATAATATTTGTTAACTAGATGTCTAGTCATATTGCAAATGTTTTGAAGCAAGCCCGTGTAACCTTCGCAAAAACTCAAAAACCTTACAAACAAAAAATTGAAATTTTATCATCTCTACTAGATAAAACTACAATGAATCACGTGAATCTACCAAAAACATACATGGATCATCATTTATGGGAATATCCGGAAAAAGCTCCTGTAAGCTGCATCGAAATTTTCGAAGATTCTGATGTAACGATGGGAATTTTCATGTTAAAACCCAACGGTAAGCTACCATTACACAATCACCCAAATATGTATGGGTTGATTAAGGTCTTATCTGGTAAAGTGAAAATTACCAGTTTCTCCATGAATACAGAAAAAACTAAAGAAATAGACCAAAGAAGCTTTCATGGTGAATCGATGCCGTATAAACCAAGCAACAAAATTTTAACTGCCGAACTTAATGGAGTTACAATCGCAAACTCAGAAAGCCCCCCATGTATTGTAGAGCCGAATTTTAGAAATATACACGAAATCCAAAGTTTAGACGGAACAGCAGCTTTTTTAGACATTTTAGCGCCACCTTATGACTTTGAAAGGCGAAAGTGCTCCTATTATCAGAAATTGAGCCAAGCTTCTCGAAATATATTCCGTTTACAAGAAATAGAGTGTCCCAGCTGGTATTGGACTGATTCTTGCCCTTACACTGGACCTAAAATGTATGAAGTTCAGTTCTATGTTTGAAAATTTACTGTTTAATGATTTTATTTTTTTTTTTTAAATTAATAGTTTCAGTAAAGAATTTGATTGTTAAGCATTATTTTTCAACATGATAAGCTCAATGTAAGTAAAAGCATTACGCAAAACCAATAATCGCTTTTTACCAAACTTGCAAACTTGAGTTAGCTCATAAGAAGACGCAAAGTCCCAAGTTAACCATAAACGGATTACGTTCCCGGAGAGTTGTAAATCTTTGTTTGGAGATCTTAGAGGAGAGAGAGGCAACAGTGCGCCTATAAAACTCAAAGTTTCGCGACTTGCCTAAGCTCATAAAAACATCAAGTTTGCATTTTGAATAACTCCAGTGTGGTTAGTTATTATAGGAAGGACTTATAAAGTCCATCGGGTTTGGAAAAATCAATGTTTAATGTTTTAGGCCCTTTGGCTATTAGAGATCTCACTCGCTGCATGTATGTATGAAGGTATTTACCGTTTTGTGATTCGCCTTTATTTTGGGAAATAATCGTTATCGTTTTAAATGGTTGGCAAACGTTTTCAGAGGGGAAATGCAATAGTTAATGTACCCCCTATGAACTAGCCTTTTATGAATGCAGATTACTGAGAAATCGACGATAAAGGAAAAAGCGGTGTATCATTGCTGCCTAAATGAGGAATTTATATAAAAACATATCTCTATCATAGCCGCATAAGTTATGAATCATTTTTTCTGAAAGCAATTACATATTATCGGTTTCTGATTTGAGTTGAGCTCAGCATTAATTGATTTAAAAAGGGAACCTTTACAGGCATTGTGCTATACTCCTCTTGGTGCAGCCCTGTCTCACCTTAGGAGTCTGCAAACAGCCTACGTCAAGGTGAGAAACGACATGCTGTCTACATCACAACTGGTGATTTGGCGTGGTGAGCAGCTTCAGATCTGTTCTAGACAGGCCCTATGAGGATAGGCTATCCTGTAGTACCTAGCAGTGTGTATTATCCTTGCCATCTGACCACCCCCCGTGCTTCGTCAGGACGCCAGTGATGGCTCTTAGTTGGCTCCTGTTGGGAGGTTTGTAAGGTACGTCAGAGAATTAGGGTTGGGAGGATTGGGTGTAAGAATTTACTGGGATTAGGATATGCGTTTTCCAGCTAAACTGGGCAGTTTGTGCATAGATGATTGTTGGTCAGATTGGAACTGGTAAGAATAACATATCAATTTGTAAAGCATATACATATTAACTAAATTGTACTCAAGAGTTTCTACTCCATATAGTCCATCAACATCAAAGATAAAATATTCTACCTACTATTGTAATATTAAAGGGAAGGAAGGGAATCAAGTTTATTTTCGATTACATTTCTCGTATCTACAACAGTGAAGTTGTCAATTTTTTGAATTGAGGATATATGATTCAATTTCTATCAAATTTCTTACAAGAGTCGAAATTTTCGTCTCGCCTCTACCATTTTCAATCTTTTTTTCATCTCAATATCGAAACTAGAAGTTTTCGAGACGAGAAAGGAAAATTTGTTCTAATTTCTCGACATTTCGCTACTGTATGAGAGCCGGTAATAATTAAAATTTGAACCATTTTCAGCTTTTGTCGGGTTAAATCTACCTATATTTTGAGTTTGACTTGTTAGCTAGGTAATTTTCTCAAAAACCATTGAGCATACAAATAAAAGATTCTGAGGATCCATTGTTAAGGATTGGATATGAAATATCTACTGAAATTTCAAGACAAATTTTAGCCTTATTTGTGAATACACACTTCATTCCCTTTATGTCAGTAGATCAGTGCGTCCGCAGGGTGCGAGTAAACCAGTGCACCCGCAGGGCGCGAATAAACTAGTGCGCCCGCAGGGTGCGAGTAGATCAGTGCGCCCGCAGGGTGCAAGTAGATGTGTGTAATTTTTTTTTGGTCAATTTCTGATCTTTGACTCAATTTCAGTCAAAAGATTACTCTTATGATGTCTGATTGAATTTCACTCAAATTCTGGGATAAATTTCGGTCTTTCGAAAGCCGAAATTCTCGTCTCGTCTCGACCATTTTTAATCTCTTCTCCTTCTCGAGTTTTCAAGACGACAATTAAGGAAAAACTTATTCTCATTTCTTGATATTTTGCACTAATTCTGAGAACCGGTAGTTATCAAAATATGAAACTATTACCGTCTTTTGATTCACTCTTCAGTATTGAATATAGGTGCTGTTGATTGAATGTGGTAGGTTTCACGGAGGCAGTACCTAATTTAAACTATCATTGACTTAAATTATTGAATTAATGACTCACCACAATTATCATTAAAATGACACAGTTTGTTTTGGTTTTTGAGGAATTGAGATTGAGGGTTTCCCTACCGTGCTGTTTCCTCTCATAAGTTCCAGGTCGGGAACGGTACGATTTTCTTTATTAATAAATTAGACGTTTCACAAATTTTTCGTTTATTTTACATATCACAACTTCCCTCAAATTTCCCTAATTTTGCTATTGTCGGACGCATGTTCAGTAAGTAAAATTGAGTAAGTCTTCACAACGTAGGTCCTATTTGTTTTTCAGAAAATTTGTTAAAAAAAAAAGATATGTTAGGTCTGTTTCTGCAGAAATCACAAACCAGTCAGAGTGAATTTCATTGTTTGAAACTAGTTTTCTGACCTGACTGTTTTCAACCAATGAAATTCGCTCTGACTGGTAGGTGATTTCTGCAGAAACAGACATAAAATCTGTTTTTTTTTTTAAAGATAATTCCCCAAGTCAAAAATTTAGTAACTATGTTGGCAACATAAGCCTTTTCTACATGAAAAATTTGATAGCATTGACAATTTTACATTGTATTGCCAACCTAATGTCAGTTTGACTTTTATCTTTAAAAAAAAAAACGCACTTTAATAAAAATCAAACCATTTAATGTTGCTGAACGAACCCGGGTATGTTATACTACAAGGTGGGCAACTGGAAATTACTGGTTCTGGAACGGTTCTCATGTCGGTTGGAACAGAGCTAATGATAATCCAAATTTAAAATAGCAAAACCACAGCGCCACAGCTAAAGTCACTACAAGAGCCGCAGCCGAAACTTTCGTTTCATTTTTACTCTCTTCTTCTCGAAATCGAAAGTTTTTGAGACGAGAAGGGAACATTTATTCTCATCCTTCGCTTGTCACTACTCTGAGAGGCGGTGATAATCAAAATTTGAAGTATAATCGGCTTACGATGATCAAATTTGTTTGAGACGATTGTAAAGCCGCGTATAGACCGAATTTCTAACGCTAGCGCTGCTGAGCCGTTGGCGTTGGTCTACGTTGGAAATTCGGTCTGTACGCGGCTTAATATGGACAACATTCATTTCTGAGTAAGATGAAACAAATTATTTTTATTTTCTGAGGTGATTATAAGGAACAGAATTTATTTCTGAGGCGAGTATAACGAACAAAGGAGTAGGTATATGAGTATTAGTTCTCGAGTGTGCTTAGATTATCGTCGGAAAAGTTTCCGTAGTTCTAACTTTCCCTCCTATTTTAGGAGAGGGGGAGTTGTAACGTGCCGAAATTGACTAACTATTTCATACGTGTTTCAGTTTTCCATTCAAGATTCCTTCAATTTTGTTTACCTTCTTTTTCTCTATAAAATTTCAACAACAATTACAGCAGTTGCAGATCCTGTAAATTTTGATGACTAATGATTTTCCTCGATTTTAATCAATATTTTTATTCAATTTCAAAATCAATCTCCATGTAAACAAATCAAATATTTATTTGTCAATTATTGCTAGGGTTATGTCCAAATCCTGGTCCGTTTTCTGTCTGGCTGGCTGTAAGCCTAGTGGGACGTGTTACGTCACCCTCACGATGCCAAATGCTGGGCAGGTACTACCGCGTTCCACCTCAGCTCCATTTTGCCTATTAGGCTTTTGGCCATCGATGGTGCCACCACTTGGAACACCCTATTCAATTTTATTACCTTGGCTGTCCACAATATGTTTTGTAGTGACTGCTCGGTGCGTTACCCGCCGTAGGGGCGCATCCTTCAGCTTGGCGTATCCTATAATTCGCTACTGATTGCTTGGTGGGTCTCTTGGTTAAATTTTAATCTCTACTCTCTTGTCTTTTTCTTCAACCCACTCTTTGGTTGTTTCGTGGTAGAGAGCTTTGAGTTAGTTTGGGTTAGTGGTTTCCTCATAGTCAGAGAAAGAGGAGTTTGCCACACACTAAGTCGCTGACTAGTTGGAATTTTCCGAAGAACCGAGGATAGAAATTGGACCTTGATGGGTTTGCCAGAGTCTCCTACTTCAGAAGCTAAGCGCCAAACTTTCATGTCTAATTTTGTCTTGATGTTAAGATTTTAGCTGTGCATTGGTGTGGGTTTTTTATTTGGGTGTGTGATTAGCAGGTTTGTGATAGGGAGGTGTTCACGGGGGTTCATAATAGATTGTTAAATTCTTGTATGGTGGACTGTGAACTATGGGCTTGTCTGGATCATATTTCGTGGCAGTCATTCTGCGCGTTAGAGAGGAGCCGTGAACTTGATGTCTATAAGATTTTTCGCTGATTTCATCCAGGTAGTCAGAGATATAAGGAATGCGCATGCTTGTGCATGCATAACGCCTATTCTGGCATACCTGGACTCCGACAGCACTCCCCTCAGGATGCGATTTTGGAATCGTTGAAGGCGGTTCCTCTATGTTGTGGAGATTATGTTCCAGACAGGGACTCCATATGTAAGCTTAGGTCTTATGACCTGTTTACATATAATTAATTTGTTACCTGGCGAAAGGGCGGAGTTAGGGCCGATGAGGGGGTAGAGTTTTTTCTGCGCATTGAGGTGGAATTTCATTATCTTATCAAAGATGATGTCAAGATATTTTGCTTTCGGGAATAGAGAAACTGGGATGTTGTTTACAATAAGTGGGTTGGGCATGCTGATATGTGTATGCTTCTCGTGGAAGCATACCAGTTCTGTCTTCTGTCCATTGACACCAAGCTTCCACTTATCATAATACAGCATTTTTCCATTGAAAAGGAAAATGCCACATATATCAAAGGATGCCGAACGCCGAATAATGTTTTTTTTTAATAAGAATTTATTAACACTTGGCCCCCTCCACAATTTAATTTCTTCCTTGTATTTAATATTTTTCCATTGCCT